TATACATCCTGTCTATGGGAACTCTAAAGACAACAACTTTCTCTTACTGTAGCATGACAAGGATCCATTTCAGAGGTGTGTTTACAGAAGGACTTGTAACAAAAATCTGAAATTCCATTGATGTCTGTCCAGACAACTCAGAGATGATCAGACTTGTTAGCCAGACTCTGTTCTTCAGCTCAATACTCCTTTAGCATTCTCAAGCAACACATTCAACACAAATACCTCTTGAGTAATCATAGCATTTAACCTATTTATCCTGTGCCTAGAGATTAAAAAAAAACACCCCAAAACCAAAAAACCAACAACAAAACTCCTCAGACAACAGTACATACAGACACACACAAAAAGCAAAAAAACCCTCAAAACTGCACACCAAAACCTAACATAAAAAAATCAGGTCATCTTCTTTCTTGGTCATTAATTCCTGCGTGGATTTACCTGGCAAAGAAAATCTTAAGGTGTGGTGACATGGGTGAATCAAGCCTGGCTGTACCAAGTCTCCAGGCAGTGTTTTTTTAGGAAGGCAGTTCAGAGAAAAAAGAATCAGTGATGGTACTGACTGAAGTGCCTTGTGATCAAACTGTTTTTCCAGAGTGACTGTGCTGGCCCTGCCTTTCTCCCTGCTTTGTAAATCAGCTGCTCTCAGCAGGTGCCAAGATCAGCAACAGGCAAACTTCATCAAGCAAATATTCAAGTGCTGTTCTAGTTGATCTTCACAGGCACTAGTGCAAAAATCTTCCTGTCAAAGAACAGCAAAGAACACTAAAAATGTCTTAGGATGTAGTCTGAGCTGTACCCATGTATGTGGGTCTGCACGTATACACATCTGAATTCTATCTTTTGAACATTATCAATGGGAATACTGTCGAAAAATGTGACAGTGGAGTTATTTTCAAGTTGGAGTGAGTGCAATCCAAAGTCTGTGTTGATGAGGGATAGAAAGGAGCCTCCTGAAGCTCAAGCCCCGAGCAAGAAATCAGGCCACACGCACGTGATAAATGGATCAAGATTTCTGTTGAAAAGCAGGTGTTTTATCCCCCCTAATACAGTGATTGTTCCAAAAGCAAGCACTTCCAAGGGGCAATTTGTTGCCCTCCCACTTAGAAGTGTTCTACTTTCCGTGCTAAATTTGCCCATGGTGAATTTGGTCTTTCATTAATGTTGTTCCTTTGCTTAAATACATCTTTGCCTGCCCTGGAGTTTACCGTCCTCCCTAGTGTTTTTAAAGAATATAGTGCAATTCTGCTCTGGTGAATAGACACTTAGAGCAAGAAAATTGTCCAGAGGCTGTAACAAAGTGGAGGCAAATTCACCCTGGAATCTCTCACAAAGTGGTAGATTTTCTTTTCTTCCACTCTTAAAGGCACTGCCTGCTTCACTGTATAGACCTGCAACAAAATTTAAGCCACAGTAAAAGTTCTTATTATTAGGTGACCTTGATCCTGTCTTTTATGACAAGTTTTTCCTCCCCTTCTCCCTCGGGTTTCCAAAGTTTCACTGTTTAATTGTGACCTGGCACCTTCATTCCCAGGGAATCACTTGTATTTTCCCCCAGCTTTTATGCTTTTATCTTTATTTCAGCACAGGATCTTTGTCATCTGAGGAACCAACTCACTTTTCTCGTGTCACTTTCCCCAGAAGGCAAAGAATTCTGTGCATATGTAGAGTAGAGCCCCTCTTCTATATTCAGTGTGCAACCTTAAGCAAGTTTTGACTGAAATTCAAACATCCCCTTCCTTCAAGTTGTTAAGCTCCTCTTCAGCTAAAGTGAATTATGTTAAACTGAATCCTGTGTTTATCAAAGTTTGGTACCTTGAATTTGAGAAAAGCAGCAACAACAACCAAAAATCTCCTAGCCAACCAAAAAAACCCAAACCCTTGTTTGTAAACATGGTTCTTAGAGTTTAGAAACTGTGGTGTTCCAGTCCACAGCAGGGGCAAGCAGGATGCATTTATATGATTGAGGGGGGGACAGGCTGACCCGACATGAAATTATTGTGGGAAATAAAATCCTGTCCCCTGGCTGGTCAAAAGAATAATTTGCTAAAGGAACCCTCATATCTGCATCATTCAAAATAGGCAAAGCATCTATTTTTATTGTAGGCTCTACAAGAACTACCTGGTCTGTTCTGCACAGAACATTTGTGGAATGATGTGAAAGAATTTTTAAAGGAGCTCTGTGATGCAAAAGAAGTATTCTTTATGCAAAAAAAAGGCAGATAAGCAGGAACATAGAAAACTGACACCTGAAACTGTGAGACTAATGAGACAAGAAAATGTTCTGGTCTGCAAAGCCTAAAAGCACCTTACAATGCTTGTGCTGTGCAGAGTTGGACAGGAGCACAAGAGATTATAAAAGCTCAGCTGTGAAACATTTCTGTGGGGTGTTGGTCTGGCTCTGGGTGTAACATTCTCCATTGACTGAGGGAAGACCAGGGTTTCACTGAACACTAAACATCATCCCTACATGTGGCACCCTTAAACACTTGGAATGTCAAAACAGTTCTAACGTGACAGTAACACCGTTCCTGTGACCTTTTCTCTTTTACTGAGAAAGTTCTCTGTGTGAAATGGACTTACAGGCAGTTCAAGAGGGACTCTGTCACACAGCCCAGGAAATTCTAAACAACATTCATATTTGCAGTTTTAAAAGGAGGAAAGAGGATTTCTTTGGGCTAAATGGCTGGGCTGCTTTTTCTATTCAAGCCTCTATTAAACATTATCTTTCCAGATCTTGTCTGTAGAAGACAGCTGAACTGAAGAAATTTTCTGCCTGAAGCCAAAACAAGCAGAAAATCACTGACAGAAATAGGTGGGAGCCTTCAAACAGAAGGTGTACTCATTACTCATTTCAGAGGTGAAAAAAGGGCATTTAAAGGTAAGAGAAAATACAGGAAGATTTACCAATACAGCTCGAAATAAAAGGACCTCTAAGGTTAGTTACAGGTTTTTTTGTGACTTGAGCATTAAGGTGACCTTGAAGGCTTCTTTAGATGATTCTGTGTTTCATTTTTATTCTCACATGGCGAAGCATAAACCTTTTTTTTCATTGGAATACAATGAGGATATTTATTGGGTCTACTCTGCAGCTCTTGGGAATGATGCAGAAAAATCACTTAGTTAAAAATGAAATGTTTAATTACTACATATGCAAGGATATCATCGTGAGGCTTCTTTCCTGGCACGAGCCTTGCAATTCCAGCAGGATGTGGCAGCATGAGGACCATTTGCATATGCCCTCCTTTCATTTTTCTCTGTCTTTTGGCTCGTACTAGAGACCATATCCAAAGCCTGCTGCAATCCTACTTTAAATCAGGCCATGCTTTTCTCTCACATTAAGCGAAGCAATTGCATTTATGGGTTTGGGAAATTACTTTTGCATCATGGTGCTTATCACCAAGTGCCATGGTTGCACTGGGTGGTGACAGCAGCAGGAATCCCCTTTTTCCTTGCCTCTCTGCAGCCTCACCCCTCAGCTCTCTCTCCTGTTCTGGATTTGGGTATGTAGAGATAAATAGGTACCATATTCCCTTGGGTCCCATCCAGCTCAGGTAGGAGAGATTGGACTCTGAAGTGGGCTCTAACATCCCATTTTTAGTCTGGGTCATGGGTAGGTTACTACAGGCGTGAAGTGAAGGATAACACTCCTGAGTAATGTGGCTACACGCCTGTTCTCCCCTCAGGCTGGAATTACAGCAATATTCCAGTCCAGAGCATAAACCAACCCTGGATGGAGCAGCACAGAGTCAGTACTTACCAAGTTCAAAATGCCCATCCATCCCAGGCAGAATGGCTCCAGCCTGAACAAGGGCTGCACAAGATTGCTTCTGGTTTAGGATTAGGGAAAGGAATACGACAGAAATTAAATCTATGTTAAAGTCTGATTTATGTCAAATTACACCAAATCAAAAGAAGGATACGGTTCTGCCCATGGTCTCATAAAAAATAATGGCTCAATATTTCCTTAGTCTAACAGATTAGGACATAAACTGTCATTTAAAATTGTGTCTTGCAAAACCTAGCAATGTTGTCTGCTCTGAAGTATTCTGGAGTTAGGCTGCTCCATTTATTTTTCAGTTTCCCTAGCTGGTACAGATGGATGTAGTGGATTTTCATTGTTTTTATGGACAGCTGAGGCATTGGTGCCAGATTGAGGTGGAGAGGAGTTAAGGGAGAATTAGAGCAATAGGCAAGAGCTGGATGGGGTGATTTTTTGCTTTCTAATGTCTGAACCAAGCAAAACAAATACATATGGATTTACAGACCGGTTAGTACTTGTGGTCTGGTACAGAAAAGGTTAACAAATCTACTGCAGGAATAAAGAAACACCCCAAATACTTTTGGGTAGCTGGAATATTAGAAACAGGATGCTTTAGTTCAGGGCAGGTAAACCTTTACAGCTAATCTTTTTGGATACCAGTACTTCCTTTCAGATGCTCACGTGTATTTAAAGATGTGCAAATCCTACTGAAAATAGTCACAGTGGGTGAGCAAACATTGTACCATGACTGGAAAACAAATGCAAATAAAATAAGTTCCTTTGAGCTACATGCTAAATGCACATTTCTAAGCCTAACTTCATTCACCAGGTACATAGCTGAGACCCTCTAGTGGCATAAACATTTATTTGCCTTCAGCATATTATTAAAATTCTCTTTCGCAGTCACATTATAGCAGCAAATTCACAGGTAGCTTTTTTGGACACTCTGGGGGCTGTGGCAAAGTGAATCTGGGATTAGATGCTGTGCAGGCTCATGTTAATGAATGTAAATTGATTTTTAGCTGTGAGGGGCAATTATAGATGCACTGGAAGGAGAAGGGAATTTTTGAAAGGATGTTCTAGAACTAATTACTATCAGCAAGAAGCACGCAAAGAGCAACGCAATACCCAGGACAGCCAATAGGGAGAAAAGCTGGTACACAAATCTGTCCTGACCTGGGAGTAAGACTGTTTAAAAACACTGATCTGCACTTAGCTTGTAAATGCGCATCACCCTCTTTCTCCCTCATATATTCTCTCTCTCTCTCTCTCTCTGACACACACACACATCCACGCTCCTGGATTTGCAGAAGACAGACATCCAGGGCACTTCTTGGCATCCCCAGGAAAATCGTATGGGATTAAAAACCCACAGCAGTAAGTACTCGTGCATTAAATGTTTATTAAGTGGCATGCTGTCAAAACCTGGATTTAATAGTAAATACAGGAGGAATTTAATGGAAATTGGTTGTATTTGATTTTTCCTAGGAATTGCTGGAAGCTGCTTCTCGAGGATTACAACTTCACCTTTTGCTTTTACGGATGCTTGTTTACTATCCATGTGGTAACCTCTGGACAGCCAGTAATCCATTCATTATCCCCACTGATTGAGTGAGGGAGTAGTGCAGCGGTAACTACTTCACTCGGCTGAAGGCAGACAACAAAAGGAGGAAAATGATGAATTCGGACAATTTAACCTCCCAAAGCTTCCTCTCTGCAATTCACAGCAACGCCAGCAATTTATTCTCAGGTCTCCAGTTTGTTCAGTCCTTCAAGCCACTAATCATCCCCTGCTACTCCCTGGTGGTTTTCATCGGTGTCATTGGGAATTACCTGCTCATTTATGTTATCTGCAAGACAAAAAAAATGCACAATGTCACCAACTTTCTCGTAGGCAACCTGGCTTTCTCAGACATGCTCATGTGTGCAACCTGTGTGCCCCTGACCCTCGCCTACGCCTTCGAGCCCCGGGGGTGGGTGTACGGGCGCTTCATGTGCTACTTCGTTTTCCTGATGCAGCCGGTCACGGTGTTCGTGTCTGTGTTCACCCTGACTGTCATAGCTGTGGACAGGTACTGTGCCATGGTGTACCCCTTCCGCAGGAGGCTCACCATCCCTGTCTGTGCTTACATCCTGGCTGCTATTTGGCTGCTGAGCTGCACCCTGGCTGCCCCAGCCTTAGTCCACACTTACCACGCCGAGTTCCCGGAGCTGGACTTCTCCATCTGCGAGGAGTTTTGGTTCCACATGAAAAGGGATCGCTTGGCTTATGCCTACAGCACCCTCATCATCACCTATGTGTTGCCTTTGGCTGTCATCTCCCTGTCCTACCTGAGGATCTCGGTCAAGCTGAGGAACCGTGTGGTGCCAGGCAATGTCACCCAGGGCCAGGCCGAGTGGGACCGTGCACGGAGGAGGAAGACTTTTCGCCTGCTGGTCTTAGTGGTGGCAGCCTTTGGAGTCTGTTGGCTGCCTCTGCACATCTTCAACGTGATAAAGGACATAGACATCAGCCTGATTGACAAGCAGTATTTCAACTTTATCCAGCTGCTGTGCCACTGGTTTGCAATGATGTCTGCTTGCACCAACGCCTTCCTCTATGCCTGGCTCCACGACAGCTTCAGGGGAGAGCTGAAGAAAATGTTTGCCTGGAGAAAGAAGAAAATTGGACCCGCTACAAACTGCATTATGGCCAGTGTGGTGCTGTAAACGAGGTCTGGTGGGAGTGCATTTCCTTTGTACAGTAACATTGTAAGTCTTTTCCACTTCTAATTAGTCCTCATTCCTGACATTTGTCTTCAGGGCTCAATTATAACAACACAATTCCCATGCTTATCTTCCTCAGCACCTCCACTTCTAACAGAGAATGACAGGCAGACATCATGTTTAAAAAATGTCTTTTCTTCTTTGACTGGAGTTAGAGGCAAGGAGATATTACCACAATAAGATACAGGGATCCTTCCTATCTGCTTTGGATATTACTCAGTACAGACATGGGTTTTGGGGATGGGGAGAAGCAAGGATGAGTATGAAACCTAAATACCTCAATGAGGGAGTGTTTTGGATTGGGTAGAAATTAAATTTGCTATCTACCCAGAGTCCATTCCTTAGCCCAGGATCTAAGGCAGAGGACTAACAATATTCCTGTAGTCCTCTTGGGTTAGGGCCAAGCTGCAAATAGCATAAAGGTCTCTGAAATGCTGTCCCTCAGCAGCTACCCCAGCTGTGGGCAGGAAACCAGGTTGGCAGGAGCTGCTCCAAGCCTCCCTGTGCCAGCTGAGCTGTGCTGGCAGCAGGGGGATGCAGCGGTGTCCCCTCTCCCAGGGGTGTGGGTGACATGCAGGGTGATGGCAGCAGCTCACTTGCAGCCCCTCCAGGTGCCTCTGTTCAAGATGACTGGGTCACCTGTGTGCCTGTGGCCCTTGCTGGGGTGTGCTGTGTCTACTCTGCATGGTTTCTTCCCTCACCCCCATCTGCTCCCTGCCCCAGGCCCAGGGGGTGGAGTCACAGCCTTTGGGACTGCACAGGAATTTGGGTTTTCTGGTTTTGGAACCCAGCATCTTCCTGCAATCCCAAACCCCCCTGTGTCTCGTGGGCCTGCAGCAGAGCATGTAGCAAGGTGAGATGCAGTATTGCAAGAGGGTAAATAAAAGCAGAGTGATGTTATTTCTGTGATGTGAAATGTGATGCAGAGTGGGCAACAGCCTGTTTGGTAGATTTGCAAGTGCTGCCATCAAGGATGGACTGACTGGAAACACAATCTGTAGTGGAAAATCATTCAAATAGGGGACATTAAGACACACCACCACTTTACTGACATCGAATTGTGTTCCTGCCATTGTCTCATGCAGCCCTACTGCAAGTCAGCTGCCTTTGTCATCACAGCATTGTCAGTGCTGAGATGAATTCCACTCATTCCTCCAGGAGCTGATTTTGACAGGTGGCAATGGTGCCATCAGCTTTGATCTCCAGAGAGAGCCAGAGGCTTTGATACTGCCTTGAGGAGCCCTTCTGGAGGTGTCTGTTAAGAGGCAGTGGGCTGAAGAGGCCATGGACACTGAGTCACACACGAGCACTGCGTGAGCAGTCAAAGCCAGAGCTGCCAAAGGGAGTGGACTGGCAGGAGCTCCCCTTTGAAGGAGTCTTTTGGGAAGAAACAATTTCCTTTGACATTCACATTTCGATAAGATGAGGGAGTTAGAAGCTATAATCAACCTAATGGTTCCTAGATCCTTCCTTCCTGAGCTGAAAGTATCTGAGATCACAGGTGAGTGTACGGGACAAAGTTCTGGAAGCAGGTTTCTTCCAGGCTGCTCAGCTAAAAGCTGTGATGGCATGAGGAGCTGCCTGATGCTGAGGGGAGATCAGCCAGAGAAGCAGAGCAACCCAGGGGCAGTTTTGGCCATCTGGCTGACCACAACTGCACATGGCCAGGTACATAAGCACTGTGAGGCAATGCCAGTGGACATGAGGGGAGAGGGAAGACAGAGAAGAGGTTTCTTTGGTTTGCACATGTACTCCTGCTGTGAAACTGTGAATATAATTCTGCTCATCACCTTTCAATAGGCTTAATCTGGTTAAAAAGCTCCCACAGATCCATATGCACACACTGAGAAAAGTGTTGGAAAAACATTCGAAATCCCGTTTCACAAATTCCCTAAAATTTCAAGTTGTTTTGCTGCTAGTAAGGAGGATATTAGAATCTGTAGTGAAAGGACAATAAATTAGAATCTGTAGTGATAGGACAACGAGTAATGGGTACAAATTGAAAGGGGGAAATTTAGGTTAGACATTAGGAAGAAATTCTTTACTGTGAGGGTGGTGAAACACTAGGACAGGTTGCCCAAGGAGGTTGTGGATGCCTCAGCCTGGCAGTGTTCAAAGCCAGTTGGATAAGGCCTTGAGCAACCTGGTCTAGTGGGAGGCAGGAGGGTTGGGACTGGATGATCTTTAAGGTCCATTCCAACCCTTTAACATTCTATGATTTTAGCTGGGCATTACTTGCATTCACTCTCAGATTAGGTGTATCTGCCTTGCTTACCTTGATTTAAAGATTTGAATGACCTGTTAAAGAATGTTTTGCTTTGCTGAATTTCAGGAAATTGTTTTTCCTTCAAGCTCAATATAGCAAGCTACTGGAATAATTGGTGATTTTGAAAAGACAAAAAAAAACAAAACAAACCACTTCCAAACAAACCAACCAAATTTTACAAGCTTTTCAGGTTTTTTTCAGGACTCTTTTGAAGACCACAGAGAATAGGACACCAAGAGAGCACTGAAACAACACTGCAAAAAGCAGCTTCAAATAACAAAAAAATCCTGACTTTCAGAGGTCTTTCTTTTACTGAATTATGTTAATCTGTTGGTTTATAAAGGTTAATTAATACTGAGGTGGCCCATAATGTGCACAACCTCCTGCACTAAACACAGACAGTGCTGTAATCCAGAGTGATCCAGAGCTCAGTGCAGTAACTGGGATGACTTTCTCAACCGCAGCAGGCCAGGGATCATTTCCTTCTTACACATCATATTTTTACCCTCATTTGCCAGCACTGCAGTTTGAGTTATTAATGTTCCTTTGAATGTTAATGGCTGAAGATGGTGACTGCAGAGAGCTGCCTGAAGCAAACAAGGGATTTGTCTCTCTATTTTGTTTCCTTGAGACAGAAATGAAGGGCTGTTCAGTGCACACATTGTTCCCACAGTGACAGATGCTTTGGGAACATCTCTTTTCCAGCAGCCTCTGGAGCTGCTGTTAGAGCAGTGCCAAGGTCTGTCATCTCACAGAGGTCCTCAGGAGTGCCCAGCACAGCAGGCACCCTCATCTAAGTGCTGGTTTAACCTGGACATGCCTTGAACCTGTCAGGATGTGCTTTGGCAGCAGAAGGCTCAGAGCCTGCCCCTCTCTTCAGGCACTGCTCACCACAGATTTTGCAGCTGCCCCCTGGAATGATCTGCATTCTCCAACACAGAAGCTCCTTCTCTCTCCTCTGCAGCCCCCTTGGTCCCCCTCACTGGTCCTGCATTGCCATTTTTCCAGGCTTTCCCTGTGTGGTGCCCAGAGGAATTCCAGCCATGGGCTGGAGGACTGGGGGTTCTGCAGCCTGGCAGGGACCGAGGCACAGCCGCGTTGGCTCAGTCCTGCCTCTGAATAGAGCCCCAAGAACCTCTGCTCAACTTAATTACTGTTTTCTCTGATATACAGAGTAATAAACAATAATAAGATTTACAGGCACATTGATGCACTACTTTAATCCAGTTATGCAAATAATTCTATTAAAAGCTGTCATGAGAAACTTGTTTGCCAATCTCCACCCCTCTCCAGGGAGCTGCTGTGGTTCTCTGAGGGGCCAGGGCTCATCACTAAGGTATTTTTGGTGGTATACTTTTTAATTACAATTTAAGAAATCATTGCATGCTTTGATTTTATAAGGTAGCCTGGTTCAAAACTTGATGAATCTATTAACTTTCCCTGGAAGGGTTTTTGTTGTTCCTTGCTCACATTGCAGCCCAGGACTCGCACAGAGCAGGGCAGTGCTCTGCAGGGATGAGCAGGGTTTGCACCTGAGCTGAGGTCTGGCAGAATGGAATATCCTCCTCCTCTGCTGGGATTTCTTTTCAGTTATTTCCATGTACAGAGAGACTGTCAGCAGGTACAGACCCAGGTGTTCTGTGTCTTACAGCAGTAAGTGTTATTTATGAGGGTTCCTTGGACTGTTCCTAAAGGACAGTCTCCAGTAAACACTCCTAGGTGCATTATGGAGTTACCACACATGCTTGGGGTGGTGATTTTGGGTAGGTATCAAAGGCATGAGCCAGCAAGTGGGTTATCAGAGCATGGACAGTCTTGGGCTTTGGAAAAGGAAGGGTCACTGAGGATCACACCTCCTCATTGCAAAAATCCTCTGGAAGATTCCACTGGGCCAAACCTCTGCAGCTCTGAGCATCTCTGAAATGTGGGCAGTGCTATGGATATGGAAGGAAGAGCAGGGGAGAGTGGGGTGTCTTCACTTACAGTGAAGAGCACAGATTTAGACAGCAGGGTCACAGCTTCACAATTTGAAACTGTTCTGCATAGCTGTTGGAAGGACTCACAGAGCATCATTCCAGCAAATATACTGTATTTCCAGTGTTTATAGATGCACTAATGCTTCCTCAAACACAGGCTATGCCCTGTGGTAAAACATGGGGCTCGTATCAAAAGGCAGTGTACTTAAGAAACACATATATAAGTCAGTCAGTATTGGATCAGGAACTAAAAAACAGATTAGATAGTGACCAAAGGTCACTAAAGCTGAAATCAGGTAGACAAAGAAAAACACTTAATTAAACCTAAATAAGGGTCAGGTAGAGTTGTCTCTCCCCCACTTTGAGAATATCTGCTCAGAGCAGTCACAAAAGACTAAATTGCTTGTGCAATGCATTACTTCCAATAAATTTTCCTCATACTTAGATGAAGGAAATTCAAGGCTGTATTTGTATCGTGTTTGGGGAATGGCAATTTATCTGGGGTGGGCAAAAGCAGGTCCTGCCATAAGGCCACTGCTCAGATGAGCATGGTGAGTGTTTCCCAGCTGACTGATGGACTGGGAAAAGCTGGTACTTCTCATACCAGCTGAACAACAGATGCTCTGCACAGTTCTAATGGAGCAAATCTTGCTGGCTGAGCTGTCGATGGTGAGTTATAATTAGATGTCTGAGATGATGCAGGGTACAGATAAAAGCTGAAAATGGTACACCTGCAGCTGGGGAAAAAAATGCAAAATTGGACAGAATTGGACAATACATCAATCAATCTGCCCACCAGATGAGAAGAGGGTAGGGAGAAAAACAATGTGCTGGTGGTAAAGCCACAGCTGCCTTTGCCATTCCTGCACGAAGAAATGTAATACAAACTTTTACCCACTCTCACTGCCCACTATCTTTTTCTTTTCTCAGACAAAAATAGTGACATTTCTCCTCCTTACCCTGAAGAAAAGGTTGCCCAAGGGTCAAAGCAAACATTTCTGACTCATGGAAAGCACACTGAAAGCAGAGCTTTCTGAAAGGAGCTCTTCTCTCTTCTGCAAGCAGAAAGACAGAGCAGCTCTGCACTGAAACATTTGCTGTGTGGACCTGCAGCTGGCCTGGCCTGCCCCTTGGAGCTCTGGCTTTTGTGTGTACAGCAAGTAAATACTTCTCCCCATGCTCAGGGACCTCACTGTGGGTCACAACCATCACTGACTCTGTTCCTTTGTACCTGATTTCCCTCCAGATCAAGATGCTTTACTGGAAGCCCCAGAGAGGAGCTGCAGGTGCATCAGAGGTATGCAGCCAACATTAATAGGACCTTTCCTTCAGAGATCACTGTCATAATCCCTGTCCCAGCAGGTTTGAAGTACATTCTTGCTATGTACTGACATAACAGGCTGATTTCAATCAAACTTTGCCTGGTTTTTCTCTGCTCCCTGCCCTCCCAGCCCTCCCCCAGACTTTTGAAATCATTGATCAACTACTCAGGAGAACAAGGAGCCTTGAGGATGTTGCCATCTGAAATTGGGAATACTAGCATTTTCTTGGTGCTGCCCAGGGAAGAAAAAGACATCACAGTGCTCTCTCTCTTAAGGACTCACACAGGATTACATGGGATTGGATATTAGGAAAAATATATTCTCCAAAAGGGTGGTCAGGAATTGGAACAGGCTGCACGGGGCAGTGGTGGAGTCATTGCCCCATGAGGATTTAAAAGATGTGTGGCTGTGGCACTTGGGGACATGGTTCAGTGACGTGCTTGGCAGTGCTGGGGGAAAGGCTGGGCTCCATGATCTTGGAGGTCTTTTCCAACTAAATGACTCAGAACTAGTCAGAAGGTGGCCAGGCTGCCTCCCTACAGGGCAAGGAGGGAGAGGTTAAGGGCATGGAGTTCAAATATATCACACTGGGAGTTATGTCCCTTTGGGATCTATAAGTTTACTCTCCTGGACAAGAAGCAGATAAGATTGACTCTCTTGTCTGTTGTTGCTTACTTTCCCTTTCTACAGCCTGCTTTGTCAAACTAAGTTAATGAAGCTAGTAATTTATATAAACGAGAAAACACACACTCAAGAGCTCCCTGCTTTATGTCTCTGACCCATTGGAAATCAATTTGGGATCACTGCTATCTATTTGCAGCTGACTGGGCTCTCCATCCTTAAATTATCACTTTGTAATTTCCCTGTGCTTTTTTTTTTTTTTTTTTAATCTCTGCAGGGAACATCTAAAAGGGGATTTTTAATCCCCACATCTACATTTCCTGCAATTCCTATGTTTCCATGAGGCACTGGAGACCTTTCAGCAGCGAGGAGGACTGCAGAGAGAAGCTGGTGGTGATGAGATCTGCCTCTCCTGCTGAGCACAGCCCTTGGCTTCCAGACAACCTGCTGGAAAGGTGTTTGTGACTCACAGCAGCAGGAGGGGTTTGTGAGAGCCTGGGGACGTTTGTGGTGCTGCGGGTCACTCTTGCCCAGCTCAGGCTCTCCCCAGCAGCATCCCCAAGCAGGTGCTGTGCTCAGCTGGAGCAGCTGGGGCTCTGGTGAGGCCGGGCAGCACGAGGGCTTGGCTCTCTCCTGCAGCTTCTCAGCCACAGGGAGCTGTGGTTATTTACCCAGCACAGCCACAAGGCAGGGCAATGCTCTGCTGAGAACTCCACAGCCTGTGTTGTAAACCAAGCCCATCTTGGGCTCGTGGAGGCAGGGCAAGAAAGAAAGAAGAAATCATTACTTTTTGCACTTGAAGCAAACAATGCCCACCCAAAGGCTAAGGCTGTGATCACCCAGAGGTGGTCCTGTGAGAATGCAGGAGTCACTCAAGCCTTCCTGTGCTCCCTCACTTGTGCTGTGCCACTTCAGGGGATTTTTGACTGTGGTTTTCCTCCCTCCCCTCAGCCCTACAGTGCAGCAGGGGCAGGCCAAGCATGTGCATGAACCACTGGGGTGAGGTCCACATGAGCAGGGCTGTCAGTGCACAGTCCAGAGGCAGGTGAGTCCGAGGGCACATGCACCTGTGAAAGGGTTTTTTTATAAAAATAATTGAAAGATTGGGGATGGAATTCCGGGACAAGTGTTCAACCAACCCACTCCTCAGCAACTGGAGGCAGCTCTGCAGGAAGTAAGATGAAAATAGTTCAAATATTATGTGCAAGAGTTAGCTATGAGCTGTATCACCAATATATATTATATACAAGGTATTTAAAATCATTAACAAGACAAAATCTTCAATGCTAAGCTTTGGAATTATTTTCCCTCAATTACTGGATCATTTTAAATTCAACATCTGTCGTTAATATGCATAAATTAAAAAAATAAAAATAGATTTGAAACCATCTAAAGCACTAGGCAGCATATGGCAGACCTGTTTAATCTTAACAAGTCAATAATATTATCATTATGAATCACTTCTCCGTTAAAATGTGTATTTATCTGTTGTATAAATGATGTTTATTTGTAAAAGCCTTTTGTGCCACCCATGCAATTGTCACTTGTCACAGCTAATTCTAGATTGTTTCGAAAAAACAATTTTCCTCTTGGAAAATTGCCACAGACTGAGGACAGACAGAAATGCAAATCTTCACCAGTCAAAGTTCTGACAACATCACACACAAAGTGCAGGGAAGATGTGGAAGGCCTGTGTTTTGCTGTAGTTAAAAATGATGGGTTTCTTTATTTTTAAGGCACTGTGGAAAGCACTGTTCCAAACACTTTTTACCCCCCAAAAGTTGTATACAGGGTCTGACAAGATCTACATGCTTTCCTGGTTTCTAGCATTCTTTTTTCATTGCTAAATGAAGAAACAGGTTTTCCCATGGAAGAGTTTACAGTGGCACTGCTCACCTGGAAATGCTGCTGCCCAGGGACAGGGGGAGGACACAGGAGAAGTGGGGATTAAAAGCCAGACTTCTCAGGCCCTGAAATCATTAAATTATTGGTTAAGGGCAACAGAACTTTGAAAAGTTGCCTTTCAATCCTTGACTGGAAGGTTTATCTCCTTCCCCCATGCATGTTAAGGAAAGGCTCTTGAATTTCAGGTCACTATTTTTCATGCAGACATCTCCCTTCAGCTCAGTGTGAGGCAGTCACATCTCAGAGATGCAGCAGGAGAAGTCACACCTTCACTTTGCCCCCTCAGGAGGGGCTGTCAGCAGGGTCAGCCCAGACAGCAGCTCATTCTGCACATCAGCATTCAACATTTTGGGTCAAACCCTCTGCAAGTGCATTGAACAATCAGCTTGGGATGCTGTCTGTGCTCCTGTGTGTTCACTCAGTCTTACAAACTTTAGATCTGATTTGTGGGTTTAGCTCAGATCTGCTTTCCAAGGATTCAGTGGCACAGCAACAGCAGCCTCAGGTTAAATGTCTCCTGTGAACGTGTGAACTCCATTGGCAAGCAAAGAACAACCAACAAATCCCAAACCCCCAACAGGTCAAAGGAATGAATTCACATAACAATTCAATAATTCTTAAAATGCCTTGGTTCCTGGGGATTAGGTCACTTCTAAGAGGGGTAGAAGATGTTTCAATGTTTGCCCACCACTGAAGGAGGTATGTCCAAGTGGAATATTTGGTAGCTTTCTAAACCATTATGGGTTTGCTGAGTGATCAGAAAAGGACAAAAAGATTGGGGGCAAGAAGAAAATGCACAGGATTTTTAGTGTTAAAATGAATTACCGGGACAAGCTGAATCTGCAATGTGATGTTCAACAAACATCCTAATTTGCAGTGCTAAAAATAGAGATAATTAGGCAAGCACTTTCACTTCCAGATCCAACATGAGGTATTTGAAAACAGAGGTGGAAGGTGGGTTGGGAGAAGGCCAGACTGGCACAAGAATAGTGTTAGACTTTCTGTCAGCAGTGAGTAAAACTAAATGAAGTGTCAGCACAGCTTTCTGCATCTGAAGCTATTTACATTCAAATATTGAGACTCAAGGAGATGGATAAAGATAATGTAGAGCTACAGTGAGTTTCACAATTCATCTATTTAAAAATAGCTGCAAAAACAGCAAGCTCTAGAGATTATCCTAAATTGCAGATATCTGAAACATGGATCTGCAGTTTGATTTCACCTTTTATTGCAGAAAGTCCAAGCTCTTTGAAACAGAGTTTAGAGCAGACACAAGTGTGTCCCTATTGTGTCTTCTTAAATAGAGACCAGTGATTTAACCAAGCCACTGTGATATTCTGCTGTAGATAATAGGTCCAAAATGAGCTTTGAGGTTTCTCTCTCCACAAGACTTGAATTTGACATTCACAGCATAACCAGAGGGTAGAAAACAGCGAATCACGTAGGTAGAAACTCTTGCTAATGACCCATTTACAGTAACTAAACAAGTTTAATCCCAAAAGAAATGAGAGCTTTGAAGTGCTCTGTTTAACCTCCGTTAGCTAGAGGTGTTTCTATGAAATTCAAAATATGTTGTCAGGGAGAGCAACATCCTTTTAGGAAATATTCTAACCTTGTGAGCTGGATATTGCCACTTTTAACCACCAGGACACGTTTTAGTAACTGCAGAAACACAGCAAGGAAGATCTTACAACAAGATATGGCAGAGTTTAGCTGTGCAGAAGCGTGCTAATTTCTCTTATTAATGGCTGGGAATCCAGCAGGCACCTCTTATCCACTGAATCTCAACCCTGCACAGCTACTAATGAGACATTTGAGAATCCACTGCACAGTAATAGTTTCATTTACTCTGGAATAAGCAGCAGTGTGGGTAAGCTGTCACTGCATTTGGAAAAGAGAGAGAAGCCTGAGAGGAACCTGTGAGGTCTCTCTGACTCAGAGCATTTAAGAACTGTGTTAGGCCTGGTTCCAAATAGCTCCTTCTTCTTCTGCAGTGTATTTGGACACACTGTCTGAGCAGGCAAGGAGCAAACACAGGTTACTCCTCAGTGCTTGCATAGGGCACCACCAGCTACAGTCACACTTTGGGCTGAGAACCTTCATCCCACCTCCACCCACATCAGCAATAGTCTTGATTTCAAGTCAGGAAAACAGGAATTTTACAAGGGGTCCCTCCTTTTCCTTTCTCCTCCTCAACACTAGTAGAAGAAGAATAGAATAAGGTGAACTGCCAGCCTGTTAGTTCCCTGTGATACAATATTCCCAAGAACAGTTTCTAACAAGTGGAAGAACCCAAGATCTGAGAGATCTCCTCCTAATGCTCTGGTAGACTGAAGTCCATGAAGCAAAACCCACAAATATATATAATTATCAACCTAATAGAAAGCTAAAACAAAATTCTGAATCAGAGCTAGTAGGTATATCAAGTACCATCTCTTCTCAAGAAATAATTATCAGTTTCTCTTCAACATTCAGCATGAATGCATTTGATAAAATTAAACGAGTCTCCCGAGGTTGTGTTATTAGGAGATACTATTGCATGAAGTCAGCTAGAGCCCACATAGGCAAGACAGTGATTAGAATAACTATCTGATACTAATAAAGCAGCTTAATAAAACAGAATTAAAAGGCCTTTCCTAATCTGTTAGGAAAATAAATACTGAAAAGAATTAATGAAAATGAATTAAAACTATTCGGGGGGAGGCATAAAGGATTGATATTCCACCTAATCTTAGACATCTCTGTTCTCCCAGAGTACTAAAAAGCTGTCCCCAGGCCATTATATTCTTTCTAAGAAACTTTCAGATTTCATCCTCATGGATTTATTAACTCCTTTTTGTTCCAAATGGGTCTCTTGCTCCTACTGATATTACCTCTTCTGCTTCCTCTTGCACTCACCTCTCAAAAGAGGCACTGTGAGCCCCACCTCTGCTTCAGACTGTGTCATCTGTCTTCTGTTTGGAGACCTCCTCCACTGGTGTAAAATGCTGCAGGATAACAGGCTGCTGATGCTGCCCCAGCTGGCACAGCCTCCCATCCCTGTGCCTGGAATCTGTCTGAGCAAGAAGACAAATCAATACTAATTAAAGGTCCCCTGGAAAGTGAATGATTGCTTGCAGTGTGCAGTGTGGCAAGGAGCCCTGTTGCCTGTTTGTGCCTCTGGTTTATCACCCCACATGAACAAGGGTTTGTACCTGGAACCAGGAATCTATAGCTGATAAAGGTCACAGCTCCTGTTGGGATAAAAGGAGCCTACAGACCTCGGAGAAAAGTGGGTTTTTCAGTTCCACACGTGCAGCAGGTAAGAGTGACCATTTCAGCTGTCTGGCTGCTGATTTCCAGCAGCTCCCAAGGATTGGAACATACACAGAAATATTCAAGAGCATTTTGTGGGGTACCTGGACTGACCTCCCATTTCCTGCAGGAAGGATGCTTTCTGGTATCTGGCCTTCCTCTCTAGCAGACAAGAGCTAGAACAAGATAAATAG